CTTTATAATTTCTTTGATTTATTTTATTCTTTCTTTATTTATTTACCCTTTGTTAAGATAATATCCATAGATATTGGTACAGGCCTTAGAAACCTTTGTTATTATTGAAAGTTATAGTCTAATTTTCCTCTTGTTATCTTTAATTATTTCAATCTCTCCTAATCCTATATCATGAGGATAAATTAAAATGAAACTCCACTTACCAATTCACTGTAACAATATATTTATATTATTATATAAATAGTTATTAAGAATTTAATAATTCAAATAATAATTCAGATTTTTAGTAAATAAATATAATTTTTTTCTTAATAGTAATTACTATTTAAATATGAATTTTAAATAAATACTTATTATAAATATAATAGATTTTATATTTTAAAATTATATAAAAAAAGTATTATAAAATATCTGAATTATTATTTTTATAAAAAAAACTTTTTTTCAGTTATATTAAATATAATTATATACTTAAGACAAATAATAGTCTTTTACTTATTGAATTAAAAAAGAAACTTTTCTGAAAAAAATTAAAATAAAACTAAGATTTGTGAATTTATAATAAATAATATATTTATTAATATTAAATTTAGAATTATTTTATTTTAGTTTAATCTTGATTTTTAGTATTATAATAAAATAATTATATTTTATAATTATTTTAATATAATAGTATTTTAAGAAGTTAACTTTTAAAAGTCATTAAATAAATAATTAATAAGAATTTTATAAATTTTATATAATAAATTAATATATTACTCATAAAATTATAAAGAATATCTAATTACTAAAAAATTTTCTTTAAAATTTGAATATATTATTATCAAAATAAGTTAATAGTATTTTATTATATTTTAAGTGAGATTAATTTTATTTTAAAATATAAATACTAAATATAAATAATATTAAAAGTTATTATTTATATCTTGTTTTTTAAAATAATATTTCACTTTCTAATTTGATAATATAAATATTAATTTAAATTAGAAAGAAGAAAATACTATAGTAAAGAATATAAGTGATATTTTTACTATTATTTTTTTATTAGATACTATATATAATAATGCTAAAGCTATTTATAAATGATTTTTATAAAAGAATTCTATAATTTCAAATACTTATAATTAATTTAATAAAGTTATATTCGAATTATTTGTATTTTTAGAATTATAATTTTTTAAAAAATTTTAAAATATTAACAAAAAATAATAAATTTATTTAAATATAATTAATATCAATCAAATCTTTACTATAAAATTAATTTAATTCAATTAATAATATCTTTATAAATATAAATTATAAGTTTATTTCAGATAATAATAAATTTATTATCGAATATTATTTATCAATTTTTTAATTTATTATTATTATTTTTAAAAATATCTTAGTATATTATATGAATTCAAAAAATATAGTATTATAATTTATATCAATAAAAAAATAAATAAGATAATTATATCATATATATTATTTTTAAGTAATAATACAATTATAAATTTGTTATATTTATTAATATATACTTTTCTTAAAATCTTATATATAAGAAATTTTTATTTTCTTTTATTTTTAATATAAAAATTAATAATAGAACAACTTTACTTTAAAAATAAACTGAAAAATTATCTTGAGAATTTTATTTATTGATATTAAATAAGTTTAATTATTAATTTTACTTTGTATTATATTAAAATTTACTATATATCTAATTCTTTATATAAATAGTTTATTAGTATAAATAATTATAATTTTATAAAACTATTATAAAAGATCTATAGAATAATTAAAAAATCTCTCTTTTATAAATTAATTAATCTTTATATTACTTTATTAAGATATTATAAATTTCAAAATCCAATCACTTTTAGAATTAATATAATAGAATATATATATAGTAATTAATATAAGTAATAAGAATTAAATATAATACAAATTATACATAGAGAAAACTTAACTATATATAATATATATGGCTATATTTTAATAATAATTTATTTATCAATATAATATAAAAACAAACTTAAAAAAAAACTTAGTTTTCTCTCTTTTTTTATTATAAATAAAAAAAGTTTTAATTATTAATCAATAAGAAATTATAAGTTAACTTTGAAATATGATATTTATGATATTTTAATTTTAATAAAAAAAGTAATATTCTTCTCTCTATAATAATAAAATATTTTGCTCAACTAAAAAAAAATAATAAACTCAGATCTATTTCTTATTTGGAATATTTCATAATTTTAACTTGTCATTTATAATAATTCTTCTTAATACATATTAATTTTGAGAAGTATCTTTTTATCTGTAATAAAGTCATCACAAATCTTTATTTCAAGATTGAAATATATATACAAATAATAAATCATAAGCTTAATAAGCTTGGATATTATTCAAAACTTTCAAAAATCATATTTCTATTTTCAGAAAAATATTATATAGCTCAAGTAAAATAAATAAAAAAATATTATAAAAAAACTGGAAAATTATAATATTCTTAGATGAAACTGTAATTTAAATATTTTAAAATACTATAAATATATTTTATAAAGATAGAATAAGTATTTAATAGAAGAGAATTCCAAAATATCTGAAGAAAGTTCATATTTGAAGCATATTTTTTGCATATGACATAATTAGCTTTCAAATATTTATTCAAAATATAACATTTTATCATGAAATTTTAACTAATAATCTTTTTGAAAATATATAAAAGAATATTAAATCTTTTAATAAGATAATAATTCAAAGTACTAGATTATAAAAATAAAAGTATTCATTTATTATCAAATTCTGAAACTTCTTGAATAGCTATCTTATAGCTCTTATCTTAATCTAATAAAAAATTTCTAGATAATTATCAAGAAAAGGATAGAGAAATGAATTAATAAAATAGTTAGAAAAGAAAATTGATTAGTATTAGTTATTGACATGGATTAATTAGGAAGATATTTCCATGGGCTTGTGTCTTAATCTGATAAATAGAATATCAGATTATATAAATAAGATAATTGAAAATAATAAAAAAATAAACTATTAATATATATATTTTTTTTTGAATATCTATATTTGATCTATATTTCTGTAAAACCATAAGTCAAATAAATAAAATCTGTGAAATTCATGGTTATAATAATGATTCTTATTACTTATCATAATTATTATAATATATAATAATATATATAGTAGTAATCACTGAATTTACTATGTTAATATTATTACCTGATGGATTAAATATGGAAAATCTACCAAGTAAGCCTTATGACTATATGATTATCTCTAGTTATTTTTCCATATTTTCTGTTAACTAATTCATTATTACATCAATTATTATCAATCTTTTGTCAAATTGTCCAATATACTTTCTCTTCAATAGCAGTGTTGCTAATTCATACCTTAAAAGGGATTTATTGATCATATTAATGTGATTTCTTTATAATAATTCGCGTAGTCTCAGAGTAGACTATTTTTCTTAATAATAATTTCAAAGAAAAGTGTGTTTTTTTAAAGATAATAAACTTTATTTTATTTTTAAGAAATGTTAATTTTATTAATTAAGACTATAGCTCTGTTGAGCTAAATTAATTTTCTCTCCTACTCTAAAGTCTTCTCTATTTATAATTGGATTTCCTCCCACTTTTCTCATCACTTATCGCGACGTCAAGACTAATGAATAATTTTTGTTTTGATTCATTAGTCGGGGCCCTATTGGTGCATCTTCATATATTCGGGATTTATTGGTGTACTTTATATCAGACCATCCTCCCCAACGATGAATCAATTATGGCTTTGATGCATCGCGGCATATACTCACGCTAACTTCTAAATTCACTAATCACGAGATTTGATCCCGTGCCCCATATCACGCGGATCGGGATCTACGTGATGACGTAGTTAAATTCCATGCCACGGTGTCTCAACGTTATACAAAAGAAACTACGCATTTCCAATTTAAGCGCCTTGTACTTATTTACATGCAAGTGCGTAAATATAAAAATCGACTAAACCAGAAACATCGATACTTTTGCTCAAAGAAAATGAACAATCATAAAACTAACAATACTAACGCTAAAAATACAGATAAACAAAACAACAAAAATAAACAATTAATAGAAAATGTTTCTGCAGAGTTTTACAAAGCACTTGATCGAGGAACCTACTTTAAAGTTCTTCCTGAAATTATAATAAAAACAATCGATTTGAATGAGAGCAATGAACTTGACTTCATGCAAGAACTTCTTAATGAAATCCATTACAATGAAATCAATTACAATGAAATCAATTACACATACAATAGCACCTATTGCTACAATTCTGCGTATTCCAATCTAATCTGTCTATATGGATTTTGTAAAGAATTCGGTTTCGAAAATTCTTCAACAGGCGCAACATCCGAACTATTCAGTTCGCCAAAAGACTATTATCATTATGCAAACAACCTCGACAACAACAAATACGCTAGAAACTTTCTAGCACGAAACTATAGAGACGGAACCGGCGGCGCTAATATCAACAATCAACAAGCGTTCTACTGGGCAAAGGAGTCCGCAGCACTCGGATTCACGTCAGGACAGTATAATTTGGGATACTGCTACATAAAAGGAATCGGTGTGACGCCTTCAGATGAGTTGGCATTCTATTGGTTTAAAGAAGCTGCTAAAATTACTAGTTCTATGGCGGAATATAGTGTCGGATTTTGTTATCGAAATGGATTTGGGACTCCGGTGAATCAGTTAAAGGCTACTTATTGGTTCCTTCGTGCTGCGTCTCATGATGATGGGGTTGATGGTTTGGCACAATATGTGTTGGCAGGCCGTTATCATAAGGGAAATGGTGTGAATCGTGATGTTCATAAAGCCATACGTTTTGGGATTAGGGCTATTCAATTTGAGCTCCGTACTGAGAACAATGGACAGCAAAATGCTATGTATTCTTTGATTAATATTTTTTCTAATGGTTTCCATTTTTTGATGTAAGGAAAGTTAAATTCCGCGAATAATTTTTCAAAAAGCCCACAATTTATTTCATGTTTGTACCACGGAATTAGAATTATTTTTTATAATGCTTTATCCTATGTCCAAAAAGGCTTTGATATTTATAATAAAAATAACTTCTGAATTATTTTAATATACGATGTGCTCAATTCTTTTTTTCAGGCAGAATTTCTAAGATAATGCCACAAAACAATTTATAAGAAGACTATGAGCATATCTTCTTACCAGCAAGCTTCATAAGAATTTATAACCTCACTCTTTAATTTCAAATTTTAAATTCTGCAATACATTAAATTATGCGGAGTTCAGCCAATCATAATTTTGTTACTTTTTTGTTTAATCGCGACACATGTACTTTTAACAAGATTATTTATTCCTTTATTACGGATAACCATTTTTTTGGAAGTAAAAATTCTTTCAAATTAGATTGGAGATTTCTTGTTTCACGTTCACGATTTGCAAATTCAATTTTCAAGAATATTCTTGTGAGAAAGGCAGTTGGATTCTATACTTCGGTATAAAAAATTCTAATAATATAACTGTATGAAAAAGTTCACGTTCAAAAGTTGTACTTTTATTAACGTTAATGTACAACAGTGATCAGCATAAAGCTTTAAACTATTAAATTTATTAAAATTAATATATATTTTCAAAGTAGCTTAAATTATTTATATCTAAATTTAATAATTGAAAAATTATTATATTTTAATTTTTTTGCTCAGGCAGATCAAGAGTTCCAAAATACGGCTATGATATCTTTTAATTATTCATAGGGTATTATGACGCAACTGTTATCGTTATACAGATAACATCAATTAACTTACATGTATTCATAACTTTATACAAAAAAGGATTATCGTTATTATAACACAAATTAAAAAATATACGATAACGATAACTATCAACATTGGATTAGTCATAACTAGATGTGCCATTCCGATCACCAGGTATTTGAGATCCGCACCGAATCAGAATATCCTATATTCCGACTTTAATATAGATAGAATGATTTTAAACTAGATATTCTTTATTATATAATTAGCCTTCTTTTAAAAAAGGCTGCGTGAAAAAGTACATGACAATCTATGAACCTCTATTCGAACATATCCCGGTCTGGCAGAATTTTTGATACTTTTGACAATATCAATAATAATTATTACTGAAAAAACTCAAATATCCTTGAATAAAATAGAATTTTGCAAAATTTACAAGATAATGTACAATGTTCTACAATTCTAAATTTCATTTATGTGGGTTTGAATACTGAAAAAGATTATAGCAAGTTTTACAATATTATCAACAAACGGAAACTCAAGGAAATGTTATAGCACAATATTTAATTGGAGAATTATATGACGATGAAGTTTGGATGAAAAAGGATAAAAAAAAGCATTCGAATGGTATTTAAAATCAGTAGAAGCTGGATTTTCTAAAGCTCAGAATACTATTGCTTTTTGTTATTTAAATGGAATGGGAACAATCAAAGATGAAAGAAAGCATTCGAATGTATTTAAAACCAGCAGCGTTTATTCTAAGCACAATTTGCACTTGCTATTTGTTTTCAAAATGGAATAGGAACAATCAAAGATGAAAAAAGCATTCGAATGGTATTTAAAATCAGCAGAGTCTGGATTTTCTAAATACAGAATAATCTTGCATTTATTATGCAAATGGAGAAGGAACAATTAAAGATGGAAAAAGCATTCGAATGGTATTTAAAATCAATAGAGTCTGGATTTCCTAAGCACAGTATAATCTTGCTCTCTGTTATAAAAATGGAGAAAAAACAATTAAAGATGAAAAGAAGCATTCGAATTGTATTCAAAATCGGAGATTCTCAATCATAATTTGCTCATTATTATGCAGATTGAGAAGGAACTATTAAAAATGAAAAAAAGCATGCGAATGGCACTTAAAAGCAGCAGAGTATGAGAATAATAAAGTCCAGTCTACATATATTTTGAGATCTAATTATGAAAGAGATGAAGGAATGAAAAATATAGAACATATTTTATTTAAACTTGTCTTACAGTTAGCAACTAGTGGTGAATTCTCGCTTACAATTTCGACTTGGACAATGCTATGAATATGGAGAAGGAATAAGCAAAGAAGATACTGAAGCATTTAATTGGTATTTAAAAGCAGCAGAATCTGGCGATAATAAAGCCCAATTTAATTTTGGAAACTTTTACCATTATGGAATAGGAATTTCAAAAAACCTCGAGTTAGCTTTAAATAGTATCAAAAGGCTAATGAGAATGGACATGATCTAGCTTCAGAAATTGTTGAATTATTTGAAGAAATTTTTTCAAATTGGTAGATATAGATTACATTTTTGAATTTTTTGTTATATTAAAATTTATAGAATAATTCATCAAAAATAGTTGCTTTGAAGGCGCACATATCTTTTTATTCCTCATTTTATCATTATCGCCTATAAATTGTGCTTATGGCTGTGATTAATTATTATCGAAATACAGTCCGCATGGAAAATAATGACGGAAAATTTTTTACGATATAATTGGTCTCCTTTTAAAAAATCAGTGAAAATACATGGCATTTCTATGAAAGAAATGTATCAATTTCACTCGCAACAACGCAAAATTTAACCATGAGTCCTTGCCCATTAATAAAAAATGTTCAGCTTAAAAAATTGTATTAGCGTTAGAACAATATACAGTATATCACTTTATAAAATCAATTATGAAAAAAATTGAAATAACTTTATTAGCAATATTTCTTAAGACATGTGTTTAATATTTTTAGGGCATAATGCCCTAATTAATGACATTCTAGAAATATATATTTTTGTGCAGCTGTCTTTAAAAAGCGCCTTAATTAAAAAAAACTAATTGTTATAACTTTCGTGCGGACTGTACATTCATAGATGTTAGCAAAATTATTGAATTCGTAAGTTTTTTCGTCAAAGACCCTATAAGAAATCGATGCACGTAAATATACAAAAACGCACGTAAAGTGCGCGTTTTATGTGTGTTCTTGTGCATTTACATGACACAAAGGTACGAGAAACACACGTAAACCGTGCAATTTACGTGCGTTTACGCGTATCGATTTTTTATAGTGAGTGTATTTATGATTAGTAGAGTTTTTGAGAAAAAATCTTGCTACATATCGCAATTTAGAGTTATTAAATTTATCATCTCTTTATGGAATAACTGGAACCAACACTTTTAATTGTCATGAAATGTAAACTTGCTTGAATATAAGAAGATATGTGCGTAGTACCTGTGTCAGTTGTAATAATGTCGGAGTAAAGCTTTGAGTTGTAAATTGATATGACTGGGTTTACTATTGTTTATATTTGCAGGAATGTTCTTTGAAATTTCATTTTTATCAAGTACCTACTATTCTGTTATTTTCAGGTGTTTCTAAAAGAATTATAATATTCAAAATGATTCAAAAAATTGTTTTCTAGCAACTATTGTATCATATCATACATAGAAGACTTATTATTATTATGTAAATAGATTTTGTGTATTGACAAAATAAACTCATATGTCAGGTTTATCATTGAATTATTTGAGTAGTTTTGTCAGGGTTTCAGTTTCACTGTAACTTGAAATTGATAAGAGTGCTATACAAGAATTCGTGTTGATCAAGATATATATACACAAAATTGTATGCTATTTTTTCTTAGACACTCATTTGTCAGTTTTTGCACAAAAATTTTGCACATGTAGCTACGTAACATTAACGTGCTATCATGTGCATTTACATGTATTAGAACATGTACCAAAATAAAGCAAAACATAACTCGTAAAAATATATGTAATTCTTTTTTATTAAAAACTAAGCTAAACAGTTTCAACAATTATAGAAAATATAAAAATGTCCGAAAATAACAAAAATAATGGTTTAGCAAAAAAGAAATCACTGAACATGAAGAGGAACTACGACAAGATAGCGTAAAGAAGGAGGACAGATTGAATAAAAGATCCAGAACAAGTGTCGTTAACGCTGCTGTGGTAAATGATTAAATAGATCGGCCTTCAAACTATCACCTTCATCCATTCTAGCAAACAGTTGCAACTTATTCGGATCAGGAAGAATACAATATGACATCATACACTTCATTTATTGCAAATAACATAACTGGAAAATAAATCACCACAACAAATTTACATAGAAAAATTGAAATCCGCTAAGTCTAAAAAAAGAATCGAATGGTATCAGAAAGCAGCAGAGTCAGGACAACTTCAAGCACAGTTTAATCTTTGAAATTGCTACCAAATTGGAATAGGCGCAATCAAAAATGAACAAAAAGCATTTGAGTGGTACTTGAAAGTGGCGGAGTCAGGAAATCGTAACGCACAACTTAATCTTGGCTATTATTGCTATGAAAATGGAATAGAATATTCAAACATGAACAAAAGCATTCGAATGGCGCTTGAAAGCAGCAGGGTCAGGACACCTTGATGCACAATTTAATCTTGTAAATTGCTACCGAAATGGAATAGGAACAATCAAAGATGAACAAAAGCATTCGAGTGCACAATTTGGACTTGCTTTAATAGAAAGAGAGGAAACTAAGTATTTGAGTTACTTTTAAATTCTGGTTTTGTAAGAATCATTTTTAATAAGATATAGTTATGAAGAATTTAAATACAAAAAAAAATGGAAGAAGCAGGTTCAAATATCTTTTAAAGTAAATCTTATCTTTATTTTCTACTTGGACATTGTTATGAATTATGAATTTAGAGAAGGGACAATCAAAGATGATAATGAAGCATTAATTGGTATTTAAAAGCGGCAGAGTCTGGATACAATAAAGCTCAATTTAATATTGAAAAATTTTATCAACGGAATGAGCATTCCAAAAAATCTTGACTTAGCATTGAAATGGTATCAAAAGGCTGAAGAAAGCGGCCATGATCGAGCTGCAAAAATGGTTGAGTCTTTCAATTTTGAAAAATTTATTCTAATTGGTAGTTAAACATTTACTATTTTGACTTTAAGTAGAA